TTTTTCTTATTTTTATAATTTTGTTGCAAAAAGGTGAAAAGTTTATCAAGGTTTGGCACTGGTCTGAGGATTGACATTTGAGAACTGCTGGTCTAAAACACTTCATACAGTAATTCTAAATCATTTATAAATACCTGAGGTCCTTGAAATATTTCAGTATAGAGACTTGGAATAAACCACTATATTCACAATTGTCTTTAGTGGCTATTTTTAACCATTCTATTTTTTTAAAAATTGTCATTATTTTACAGTTTCTGAGTCTCAAAGATTCCTGTGGGTTTCTCACATTTGTTCCATCTTTTCATGGTTTAGGACTAAATTGCCTCATTATAGTATTATCACAGTAATTTACTCGCGGTAACATGTTGTGTTTCTCTGGTTCAGTTGTCTCTAAATTTTGACTGTAAAAATCATGTTTAAGCACTCGCCACTTGTTATATGTGTCCTTATTTTATGAAGTTCATGTACTATGGATTATGTACATTATAGGGCATTCTTATGGCTGGCATATGAAGTGTGGGCAGTCTTATTGTGGACTGTGCCCCTTAACTTGTGGGGTCTCTGGTAACTCAGGATAGTTAGCGTCAGAACTGAACCATAGGCTTGCAGTACCTTAGTTTGTATCTCCTTTGTAACATGGGACATACTAATTGTATTTACCCAATAGATTTGTTGGGACATTAAATGTATTAGTACACACCTCACATTAGGGAAACTAAACATTGTTTGGATGGAAATTCTTCCAAAAGTAACATATAATCAAAATCACAAAGCAATTTCTTTGTACTTCTGAATTTTACCTAGGAGAAGAAGCAGGAGAAAATATTAAGGAAAACTTGAAAAGTGGAGCAGGAAAGGAAATTCCCTAGCAGGTAGTAAAAGATCTAATGCTACTACACTGAAAAGTGTGGCACTGATGCCAAAAGAGAATAGTGACCTAGAATAGAGTTCAGAGACCCTAAGGAGTTGGTGTCTTTTTTTGTTTTTAATGAGATGAGCACAGCAAAGTTTATTATGCATCCAAAAGTTTTATGATTTTCTAACAAGGTTGACAGAATGTATAAGAAAACAGTAAATATAATTGAGCTTTACAATCTCAGTTTTAACGTCAGATTTACACATTTAAAAATATATTTCTCATCTGTGAAATACTCAATACATTTATCATAAAGACTCTGAGCATAGCTTTAAAGTTAGAACAGAATGCTTAATTATCATACTAATGAATGAAACAGTGAATTTCAATAGCACATTTTCAATTCAATGGTGAATAGATATATTTTCAACAAATGGTTCTAGGACAGTTGGATACTGGTTTGGGCAAAAGTTAATTTTCTTTTACTCACAACACTTACCAACATAAGTTCCATAGTTATCAAAAAGTTAAAATAGTAAAATAAAGAAACCATTAAAGAATTAGAGGAAAATATAAGTGAATATTTTTCTGACACTAACAAAAGATAAGACCTTTGGAAGCACGAAAGTAAAGGAAAATCACAAAAGTGAACACTGACAGAACTGACCTCACAAAATCAAAAACTTACAGATGTTGAACAATTAACATCAGAAGTGACAAACTCAGAAACATTTACAATGTATGTCAGAAAAAATTTTAAAACAATTACAATAATCAAGATCGACAAGGTTATAGTGTAGACCACGGATTGACAAAGTGTTTCTGTGAAGAGCCGCAGAGTCAGTGTTTAGGTTTGGCGGGTTATATGTTCTCTGTGGTGACTACTCATCTCTACGATTGGGGCAGGAAAACAGCCATGGACAATAGGTAAACAGGTGGGCATGGTTGCGTTCCAATAAAACTTTATTTATAGACAGTGAAATTTGAATTTCATGTAATTTTCGTGCGTCAAAATATTTTTCTTCTTTTGATTTTTTCCAATCATTAAACAATGTGAATATCCTCCCTACCTCTGGTGGCAGGCCAGATCCGCAGGTCAGTTTGCTGAGCTCTGGTGAAGATGCAGATTCTGGAAGGGGCTTCAGAGCACTTTCATGTTTTTGAGGATGGTGGGTTGTACTTGGTTCACTACTAGGTCTTGTCAGAAAATAAATCTATGGGGATTTGGGACAAAGAGTAGACTGATATTCAATAGAGAATGGGGAGCCATTCACCAAAGATTTTGTGGGTTGGTTCTACCAGGTAGGATGGGAGGGAGTGGGGTGAGTTAGGAGGAGGTCGTAATGCTCCAGAGTAGGAGAGTGGAGATGGGTGTAAGAGAGAGTGAAGGTGGAATTGGCTGTTAAGGAGGGTTCAGGACGACAGTGGACAGAGAGCTTCTGACCTGTGTAACTGGAAGGGAGCCGGCCCATGAACAGAAACGGGAGAAAGAGGAGGCAGTATTGGGAACGGGTGAAGAACTCAATTTTAGCTGTGGTTTTAGGTACCAGAAAAATACTCAGGTGAATACTCAAAAAGGGAGGGCTGGAGCAAGGCTGGGGTACTGATCTGGGAGACATCTCAGGGATGTCGGACAGAATCCAGAACTTTGGACAATAGCCAATATTGGAAGCAAGAAGAGGAAGAGGAGCAGCCACTGGTCTAGTTCACGATGTCAGTTCTGGCTCCATCACAAACTTTAGGATTAAGTCTCATAGGAATATTATGAGAATCATTTGATGAAATAATTTTCACACTGCCGTATACTTAGGGGTGCTGGCTCCTGTTATTGAGACTGAAGAGTTGCATAAGGATATGTTGAGAGCAGGGACTTCCAAGCTCAAGTGGCCTGAATGATGATTGGCAGGCTGTGGCTCCCAGCTGTGCTGTCAGGAATCCTGACTCAGGGCAGGGGTGATGTTTGATATCTTGTAAGTGTTACATTGCCCCAGCAGAAACTAATCATTTGGCGGTTTTTAAATTTGTTAATTAAAAGGGTTTCTTTTTCTTGTTATAAAATGTTAATTTGGGATTAAGTATAGCTCCCATGATAATTTGGTTTCCTTGGAGATGTTAGAAGTAGGAAAAGGCTTGATTGACACAGTGCTCCCAGACACACCACCAGACACATAACCAAGGCCAACTCGGAGCTCCCTCTGGCCTGGCCAGTGCTCTATCCCACCTGTGTCCCACCCCCAAGCCCCAGTGCTGATGTCACTGATGGACTTGGGCTGTGAAGCAGCCTGCCGGGAGCCCTGAGAACCTGGAATCATTCTCACAGCAGCCTTTTCAGGACAGCCCTTATTACTTCATGTTCTGAGACCCAGCATCAAAGACCTTAGTTCACGCTTTCGTATGCTTTTGATGTGGGGACCAGGGTTTTGTTTGATATTGTCGTTTAAGTCTTCTCTTTCCTTACAGATTTTCTCTGTATTTATTCTATGAATTACTGTGAGAGGAGTATTAAAATTTCCGATTGTAATTGCTTATTATTATCTATTTCTCATTTCAGTTCTCTCAAGTTTTGCTTCATGTATTTTCCGATTCTCTTGTTAGACAGTTACATATCTTATTTTATTTTTTTGGTGAGGAAGATTGGCCCTGAACTAACATCTGCAGTTACACATTTTAAAATTGTATATCCTTTTGCTCTATCAATCATTATAAAATGTTCCTATTTTTCCCTAGTAGTGTTCCCTGTATTAAAGCCTACTTTTTCTGATATTAATATAGCTACTCCATCTCTTTTAAACTTACTATTTACATGATATATCTCTTTCTATGTTTTCACTTTCGGTCTATGTATGCTACAGAATTTGAAGTGCATCTCTTTGAGACAGCTTATAGTTGGCTATTGCATTTTTATCCTGACAGACAGGCTGTGCATGGTGAGTAAAATGTTTAGTCCATTCACATTTAATGTAATTATTGTGTGATTAGATTTAGGTCTGCTCTTTTGCTATTTGTTTTCTATTTGTCTCATTCCTTTTTCATTTGCTTCTGTTTGTCCTTAACTAATTTTTTTCTTGTTAAACTGAATTCTTTTTTGTTAAATATTTTTATGTATGCAATTCCAATTACTGACTTTTTAGCTACACTGTTTTGCATTTTTGGAGGGGTGCTTTACGAATTATAATATGTATCTTTAAGGTTCACAATATATTTTATTAATGCCAGCTTCCTGTAAAATCTAGGAAGTTTGCATATTATAGCTTCAATTATTCTCCTCTTGTGAGCTATTGTCATATATCCATATCTATCTGCAATAAACCCAAAATTATACTTTTATAATTTTTGCTTTAAACATTTATATGTCTTTTAAATAAGTTAAAAGAAGGGAAAATTTATATAAAATTTTATAGTTCCTAGTGTCTATATTATTTCCAGTGTTCTTTATTCTTTATTGAGACTCTGATTTAGACTCTGGTAACATTTCCTTTTAAAGGATTTCTTTTAGAATTTCTCGTAGTGTAGGTCTGTTAGCAGTGAATTTTTGCCATTATTATTTATCTGGAAATGTCTCTGTCTTGCCTTTATTTTTGAAGGACAGTTTGCTGGATGTGGATTCCTGGTTGATAGTTTGTCCTTTTTTTCTTCAGCACTTTGAATGTGTTCATCCGATGTCTTCAAGCCTCCATTTTTATCTGATGAGAAATCAGCTATTAATCATATCGTTTCCTTGTATGAGTTGTATCTTTCTTTTTCTGCTTTCAAGATTTTGTCTTTGTGTTTTGCTTTTAGCATTTCTACTATGCTTTGTCCAGGTTTTTGGGGTTTTTTTTGTATTTATCCTACTTGGATTTTGTTGAGCTTCTTGGAATTGTTATTATTTTTCATCCAACTTGGGATTTTTTTGGCCAATATTTCTTTAAATATATTTTCTGCCCCTTTATTGCTCTCTGTTCCTTCTGGGAATCCAATTATACAAGTATAAGAATTCTTTATATTGTCTCACAGATCTCAAGACTCTGTGAATCATTTTTCAATCATTTTTCTCCCTGTTCTTTGGATATGCTCTTTGACCTATCTTTAAGTTACTGATTTTTTCTTCTACCATCTTAGGCTTACTCTTGAATCTATTAGTAAATTTTTCATTTCACTCTTTATACTTTTCCGCTCTAGAGATTGCATTTGCTTTGTTTACAAAATAGTTTGAATTTTTCTGTTGATATTCCTATTTGTTCATTCAGTCGTGGCATAATTTCCTTTAATTCTCTGAAGATGTTTTTCTGTAGTTCTTTAAGCATATTTATAATAGCTATTTGAAGTCTTTATCTCCTAAATCTAGCACATGGGCTGACATGGAGTCATTTTCTATTGATCATATACTTTTCCCTGAGTATGGGTCATACTTTCCTGGTCTTTGCATGTCTAACAAATTTTTGTTGTTGCTGTTGAAAAATGGACATTGTAAATAATATGTTGTAGTGAATTTGGGTTCTGTTGTTCTTCTGAGGGTGGGTTTTTAAGTTTTAGTTAAGTAATTAACAACCAATTAATTTGGCTACACTCAAACTGAAAAATCTCTCTCCTCTGTGGTGTGCAGCTGCTAATGTCTCTGCTCACTTTTTTTCAGTGTGACTTCCTAGGTGCTTCCCCTGTGCTTGCCTAGTTTAGGGGTTAGCCAATGATATGGGCAGACAGTAAGGCTTCCGTTCTCTGCTGCCCAAGCAGTTTGTGGTTTGAGAAGAGTGTTCAAAGGCACAGCATGTTTATGTCTTGCTTACATTTTTTGCCGAATTCTCTGATGTTTCTAACACATCTGTAGTTTAGCAGTCGGCCAGGGAATGTGTGAAGAGTTTGTTATTTCAGCCCAACTATGGCTCTCTGGCTGCTGAGATCTCTCTGCTGTGTATCTACCGGCTCTGGAACACACCACAGGCTAAGTTCTCCTCTTCTAGTAAGGAAAGCTGTGGTTTATACCGCCTGACGTGGGGGTAATAGCAGTATTCCTTGGCAATAAGGCCATGAACATGCCATTCTTATTAGATGCATTAGCAATTCTTCATGAATAAATTATTTCTCAAGTTGTTGCTTGACTTTTGATGTTTTCCACTGAGCTAAAATGGTTGATTTTATAATTTTGTCTAGTTTTATACTTGTTTTCTCCTGAAAGGAATCCCCCAACTTTCTCACACCATCATTATTGGAAATAGTGCTTGTACAGACATTTTTAAAGTTATTTCTTTAGTTATTTTAAGACACATTTTATGACCAATGCTATTGATAGTACATGAGGCAATAGAGTGTGGAAAAATACAGACACCAACATCCCTAAGGCATTCGGAAGGGCTGCAATCTGAATGAGAAGTTTAAGATTTATCTTGATTTTGTAGTTATTTTCTTGTTTTTTTTCTGTGCCCAAGAGTGATCTATAAAATTAATCTATGCTGTGTCTAAATGCTTCTGAAATTTTTTTCTTTAGGATAAAACCCAAGAGTGGCATTGCTACGTGGAAAATATGAATTTAAAAATGTATTTAGCTATATATTAAGATAGGCTTGAATTTAAGCATCTCGCCCAAATTCATTTGATCGCTGTATTTGGTAATGTGACACTTTTACCTCCTGATCACCTCCTGCTTTCTTCAGCCATTCATCTACACAGAAAATATTTATCAAGTGTTTACTACGTGCTTGAGACTGCAATATGCTGGGAGGGCAAAAATGTGCAGAACACAGTCCTTTCTGGTCTGGGAGCTGATGAGTTAGTGACTGGAGCAGATAAACCAATTGCTATGAAATATATATGCTCTACATATGTACGGTGACAGGTGAAAACTAGACTGTTGTTGAACACGATGCAGTCCATACGGAAACTGATACATAGTAACATACACCTGAAACTGCACAATGTTGTAAGCCAATATGCCCTCGATAAAATAATTTTTGAAAAAAGACTGTATAAATTGCTTTAGTGTTTTCCTATTTGAGGACATTTGAGTTGTTTGGTTTGGTTTGGTTTTCCTTGGGTATTATTTCTTTGGAAATATTCCTAACAGTGGAATTATCGAGGTCAAAAATATGAATAATGCTATAGCTGTCACTGTAACCATTGACCGATTGCTTTCCAGGGGAAAAGTAACCAATTTAAAAAGCTACCAGTAATGTTCAAATATTGTTGTCCTGATCTCCACACCACTCCCACTAACATAGAGTTATATCACATTTTTCTTTGTTTTTGCTGGTCTGATAGGTATATATAGTGCAAAGCTTGTTAGAATATGGTTTTCATCACTGGTAAGGCTGAACATTATTCCTTATGATGACTCTACTTTTCTAAATGCATAAAGACCACTTATTGAGCAACAAAATATATATATATATATATGACCTAGAGCAGAGGCTTCACTAAGTGCTCTGAGCCCACAGAATAGGCAGTTCTAATTTGTCCTGAGTCAGGGGGGATGGTCACATCCGAGGTGGATCTTAGAGTTTTAATTGCTGTTATCAAGTGAAGGGCAAGGTCAACAGGAAGACGTTCCCAGAAGAGGGAATAGTGTGTGTAGAAACACAAAGGCATAAATTGGGTGGCAGAAGATAGAATTGGCAAGGTAGTTTGAAGTAAGAAAGTGAGAACACTTTCGTTTGACATTTATGTGCAGCAACCTGAATCAGGGTATGGGTGTGTGGAACCTGCTGATGGGGCTGAAAGAGAAGAGAGAGGAATCAGTTAGTAAAGATGCTTAAGACTCAAAAGTGAGGCCAATTAGTTCTCCAACACTGTTGGAAACAGGCAGGCTATTGTATTGTGTGGTACTGAGATACCTATGGAGTGCCTAGCATGAGTTGTAAGCCTTAAAAAGGAAGGGTCAAGGAAGTCTTCTGTTTATCCCTCTGTGGTGTTCATATTATCTATAATGAGGTAATCAGATAATGAGATAACCAGAGTAGCCTGGACATGTGCCCACACTGACTGCCCACTGGAAAGAGAGCCTAAGGACTTTCAGTATTAAACGACTGAAAGCACAGGTTCGCTTCCAGGTTCGAATTCGCTCAGGAGAAGCTAAACTGTTATAGCGGGAACGAAGCTCAGTATACAAACCCAGAGGTGCAAAGCATATCAGATTTCTTAATTTCCTTGAAATCTAATTGCATCTGACTCAAAGTCTCCAATCGATCTTCTGGTGGGAAATTAAGCCTTGGTTATTATTGGAGTTCCTCTCCTCAAGAACACACAAAGGTCCAAGGTCACCCAGTGCTGAAGCATTGGGGAAGGGCTTCCGGTCAATGGTTGCTAGTTGCTGTCTGCTGGGTGCCCAGTCTCCACGAGTTTGTCCCTTCAGGACCACTGCCCAGCTGTCTCCATGCTACATGCAGAACATAGAGAAAGTTTCCAAGACTCTAGACTTCACTGCTTGGGGTCCAACCTCTTTAGGTATACCACAGTGGGAGCACATTACATTAGGAGAAGCATCCAGTATAGAGATGGAGAATCAAATAAGGCTTCTTGGAAGAAGTGCTGTTTCTGCTAAAGCATTCTGCTTTGTTTATTATTATTCTCCCTTCTTCTCTTAAACCTTCCAGTTAAATAATTTTTCACTTTTCTCCTCCTCATCCTGTCACACCTGCTTCTGTTCTCTCTTGAGTAGCCTGGCTCACTGCCTCTCCCTGGCTCTTCATCTTGCTGATGTCTTTCCTACAGAGATGCAATAAACACCTACACAATGCAAGCAATACAATTTCCCATTGGAAAAAGCGTTACAAAGGAGTTAGGAAGGAGGGTAAGTATATGTTCTCTTCGTTTAGGCTCTCTGAGTATATGATCTTCTTCCTACTGGTCTTAGGTATCCATCTTTCCCAGAGGTAGATTAGGACTCGGATAGAGGGAATGTAAAGGAGAAGAAGGGAGTGAGATAGGACGATGAGAAAGGCAGACTGCCTTTTCATTTTCTCCCCACCTCTTGAGGCTGTGACAATCAAGAATCCCAGGGTCTTTGCTTTCAGCATGTGGTCCAACAAGTCATTCCCTGTTTCCTCGCCATACACTCAGATGCCACTGGAGAGAAGAGCTGGAGAGGCAGGCAGGAGATTGAGTAATCTGAGGCCATGGGTATTCAGATTTCCATACAGAGACTAAGTATTCCCTAAAGGGACAATTTTGATTACTGTACCGGAGTCAACTAAATCTAGGCAGATTTTCTTCCTAATTAACCATTGGGTAGGGGCTTATGAGGAACACTGGCTCAGTAAGGCATAAAATAAATAATCTTTATTTTCTCTCATATCTGAGTGTACTGTGAGTAGATTTCCACCCTCATATGCCACACAGAGGAGGAATAGGAGATAGAGGGAGGGAATTTTACAGGTTGTAGCACAAACAAAGGCAGAGGCAAGAAAGTTTGAGATATGTTTGGAGGATAGTGTGCAATCCAATTTGACTGAAATGTTGGTTATGTGTGGGGCAATAATATGGCGAACATGGGTCCAGAAAGTTGGGGCTAAATTCTCGAGGGCTTTGCACACTGGAGTGAGAAATTTTTAGATAGATCAATGAGAGCTGAGCATCATCAAGAGATTTAGGAGAGAGGGATGCTATTATGGGACAACTCCTCATCTATTAGGTTGAATAATTCAATTTTTTTGAACTACAAAAATAGTGTCCTTATATGGTTCCACCTAACATTTAAGGCAACTATCTTGAGGTCCTGTAACATTATGACTGATTTTCACTTGTTGACTCAGAACCCACCAGCAGGACCCTCCTCATGGGCAAGTTTTCATTAAACTAATTCTTTAATTATTTGTCCTACCATTTACTAATCCTCTTAGTTATCTTTCTATAGATACATATTTCTTACTTTTTTTTTTCTCTACGAGATATCATTGAAAGTCATTGTCAAATGCTTTGATAAAATCTGTTTTAGTGCAGTAACCCTGTCAGTGAAGGGAACAAGGTTAATCTGACATGACGTGCTCTTGGTGAACCAGTTCTGTTTCTTCGTGATCATCATTTCCTCCTGTCGGTATTTCTAAACCGCCCTGTAAATATCCATTCTTTGAACTTGCCCAGGTATAACATCAAGCTAGCCTGACTATTTTCAGAATCCCTTGTCTCTGAGTTTTTGAAAATTCTCCCACTTTCTACAACAGAAGTACTTTACCACATATTAAAAAAAATATATTACTGAGCCTCAAAACTTTTCAGAGATTATGGTCCTATAGTACGAACTTTGAGAAGAAGTGCTATCATTTTCAGATATCCAGTTTCAAGAGGAGAGATGGACTACTTATTTTTAAGTCAGGAATTGATAATTTGCCGTGAATATGTTTACAATAATAAAAGAGGCACAAAGTGATAATACATATAGAATTTCTCCTAACGAATTGCATTCTAATTAAATTTTGGACCTGTATTATCCTGTGTGCTTTTAATAATTACAAACTCTCTGGATAAGAATATGTTTTTTAAATGGATTATTACTGTTTCTCCTGACTCTTGGTACTGCATTTTAGTTATTTGTGCAAAAACAATTATAGGACTGGGTGCTTTAAAGTGAATGGGAATTTGTTCTCAGTTCTGTATTGAAGACCTTTTTTACTGTCTTGTGGGTGAAAGTAGGTTGGTGGTGCACGCTAAATTTCAAGGTCAGGAGTTATGGTTGGAAAACCAACCCTAATAGAAGTTCAGGAATTCTAAGGCTCAATTGTATACATTTACAGCTGTGAGTTATGGAGCAATAAGACCTAAACCATCAAGATGGGGAAAAGGGAGTACGTTGCATAGGAGTAAACAGATATAATTGGATAGTAACTCCTTCCAGTGAGTGGGGCTTAGTGCAAACAGCCCAGGCTTGGACTCAGAAGCCCTGGGTTTGAGTTCTGCCTCTTTTACTTACCGGCTGTCTGTCCTTGCACAAATTGTGAGGTCCCTGTGTGCCACAGGTCTTCACCTATAAAATTCAGACACAGATTGCTCCCAGGTGGGTGATTATTAACACTAGCTGGAATAATGTATTTTAAAGCATTTATAAATATCAGAACACTGTAGAATAAAAGGAAGCTTCAGTCTTATTTTTAAGGTAACATGTTTGAAAAAGTGTCAACTAGCAACCCTTCTGGGCTTCATTTTTGAGGTGCCCAGGATACCTAAATTCAAAGGGCTGAACCTAAGTAGAGTTAGGAAGTTAAATCTGTTCCAAAAAGTCACACTGTCTCACAAAGTCCTGTCAGTGCTACTGTTGCAAAGCACTGTGTGTCATAGTAGCCTTTTCTAGAAATGCATGCAGTTTCTCACGGTTTTCTCTTTTCTTCTAGAGCAGTGGTTCTGAAAGAGTGGTCCCCGGACCAACGGCATCAGCATCACCAGGCTGCCTGTTGGAAATGCACGTTCTTGGACCCAGACTAACCATTTTAGAAACGTCAAGAATTTCTTTCTATGTTTTAACAAGCCCTCCAGGTCACCTGCTGCACACTAAAATTAGAGAATAATCGTTCTAGAGAAATCCTAAATTACGTGACAGGGGTTCTTAAACAAATGCCATCTTTAATGATTTCAAGTAAAAATTAATGTATAGATTAACTACTAAATGCCAAGTACTTTCTATTATTATATTTATATTTAGTTTTCTGACATGTGAATTATCATCTCATTTTATAGATGAAGAAATTAAAGTTCAGAAAAGTGAGCAGTTCGGAATCCAGGGCTCTGTCCACTAGCCTGAGGTTTGTAAAATACAAAGAACATCCAATTATCAAGTGTGATTTAAAAATAACATGTTTATCGTTGTTGCTGTTTTCATTTGAAGCAAAATGTATGCACTGTTACAAGTTTTGAAGTCTGTCACTGTTATTGGGGTTGGTTGAGGGTTTTTTTCCCTTGACTGCATAATAAGCCGACTGGCACATTTAATTAACAAAACCTGTCCTGTGAAATGTGCAAATACAATTAAACACAAGTTGACAAGTCAATGCACTTGAATAATGGAGAGATGAATGGAACCTTGTATATGAATAAATCTATAGTGTCTGATACACATCAGCATTTTCCAAACTGCTTCTATAAAGCCTTGCTATGGAAATTGTGGTCTGTGGGCCAGCTGCATTGGAATCAACTGGGAAATTGCCGGAAAAGAAGACTCTCAGGCCCCATCTCAGACCTACTGAATCAAAATCTACATTTTAAGAATAAATCCAGTGATTCATATGCGTATTAAAGTTTGAGAAGCCCTGCTCTAAATAGCAGTTTCCTGAGAGAGAATAACAGGTTTTCTGTAGGTCAAGGGTGCCATGTCAAACAAGCTTGAGAGTCCCTGCATTTAACAGGTGGATTTAAACAAGTCAGATAGGTATCCCACCCTGCATTGTAAAGCTCTGGTAGGACGATGTAGTAGGAAGCGTGTTTCTCAAATTTAAGGTCACTTTCAGGCCTAAGACTCTCTATGGTTCTCTAACCTATAAGATAAGTATCCCCAGAAACAAGTCTACCTTTCCAGTTCTTCCTCCATCTTTTGTTTGTCTTGATAGATATAATTTTATTACGTAGTTATTCCATCAAGGCACTGGATAAAGCACTGAACAGAGATTATTCCATTTATCTTACAAAGGAGTTGTCAATACTGCTGTTTTACAGGTATGTAAATGAAGGCACAGAGATGTTAATTAGCAGGCCCAAGATCACACAGATCATAACTGACAGGGCTGGGCTTCAAATCCAGGCAACCTAGAGCTGTAGAGTCTTTTGTCTTAACCGCTATTCCATGTGCCTGTTCAGATTTGCGTGACTCCAAAGCCTGGGGAATATTATAAATTACGTATTTAATTTAAGGGGGTATTTGGTACAAAGTCTTTTGGTGCAAAGACCTCTGTCCCCCAGCCATCCAGTTCCCCTTTCTGGAAACAAATAATGTTATCAGTCTCTTGTGTATTGTTCCACAAACATTTTAGAAAATGTCTATGTGTGTGTTTTTATATATTTCCTCTTCTCACCTTTTCTAGACACGTGGTAGAAGACCATACACATATGTTTTTCACCATGAGTGTGTGTTTAATTAACAATCTATCTTGAAGCACATTCTATATCAATACACAAAGGGCTTCCTCATTGTTCTTTGATTGATGCTTAATATTCTATCAGATGAACAAATAACCACTTCTCTATTGCTGGACTGGTTGGTTGCAATATTTTGCTATTTTAAACACTAATATAATATATAACCTTATATTTCCATCACTTTGCATGTTCAAAACTAAGTATGTAGAATAAATCATGTTTTTCAGGAGTGTTTTAAAGTTTTCATTGTCACAATTCTTGCTTCTTGGGTATTAGAGTTATGCTCCTAAATATTTTAGCTTTCTATTGCTACTCTTTCAGTATAACTTCTAATGTTTGTACTTTTGAGTGCTATTCTGACCAATTTCTGCTCATGATGCACTTCTGACACTGAATATGCGGGTTTTTTCCACATGGACTGCCAATTCTCTAACTCTTCAGACACAATTGAGTGTTCAATGATTGAAATCGATTCTGATACTAACTACCCAGAGTAATGTAGACCCACAGGTTGAGGGCTCAGTGCCACAAGGGTGCACCCACTTCAGATACCAGCTGAAGTCCCAGGTCTCCCCTACTTCTGACTGGCTGGCTATAAATTGGGGGTTCCCCATAACTCCCTCCTCAGGTTCAATAATTGGCTGGAATGGCTCACAGAACTCAGGGAAAAGAGTTTACTTCCTATTATCAGTTTATTATAAAAGGTATTATAAAGGCTAGGTACACAGGGCAAGACAAAGATGAAGAGGTACATAGGGCAAGGTATGGGATGGCAGGTGCAGAGCTTTCCTGCCATCTTTGGAAGCATCACCTTCCCAGCATTTTGATGCACTCGCCAAGCTGAAAGCTCTCCGAATCCCCTCAGTTAGGGTTTTATGGAGGTTCCATTACATGGGCATGATTGCTTAAGTTATTGGCCATTGGTGATTAATTCAATCTCCATCCCCTGTCCCTCTCTTCAGGTTTGGGGGTGGGGCTAAAAGTTCCAACCCTCTAATCCCAGGGTTAGTTTCTCTGGCAACCAGCCCTCATCCTGAAGCTACCTAAGGGCCACTGAGTCACCTCATTAGCATAAACTTAGGTATGGTTGAAAGGGGCTTATTATGAACAACAAAGGATTCTCCCCTCACCCCTATCACTCAGACAATTACAAGCTCTTGTGTCAGGAACCCAGACAAAGACCAAATACATATTTGTTATTGTATCACAATATTACAGCTATTGATTTCTATATCCCAATTATGCGCCCATCCATCTTTCTGAATTTGCTTATTGTTTGTTACAGTTTTTAAGTTGATTCTTTTGGGTTTTACAGATTTATATCATACTATCTGCATAAAATAATAATTTATCTCCTCCTTTCTAATATTTATTCATCTTACTTTCTTTTTCTGAATAAGTGTTTGCCAGACACTAAAACAGGAGTCAGTAAATGGCAGCCATTGGCCACATCCAGCCTGCCACCTGTGTTTGTAAGTAAAGTTTTACGCTCACACCCACACCCATTCACTACATACTGTCTATGGCTTTTTCACTACAGCTGAGTAGTTTCAGTAGTGACAACATGGCCTGCAAAGCCTTAAATATCTACTATCCAGCCCTTTACAGAAGTTTCCCTATCTCTATGCTAGAATAATGTCAAATACTAAATCACAATTAATAGTAGGCATCCTTGTTTAGTTTCCGACTTTAATGGGAATGCTTCTGGTGTCTCCTCATTTAGGAATGATGCCATGGTGGTTTTTAAAACGTATTTGTACATTTCTGCCCCTCTCCCATAGAGATGGGTCTTGTCTCCTCTCCTTGAACTTGGATAGTCCTTTATGGCTGCCTCAAGGAACATAGTACAGCAAACTGACTCTGGTTTTCCCAGCGAGGTTAGAAAAAGGCTGAGCTGCTCTCTCTGTCCTGGAACACTCACTTTGGGCACCTTCAGCTGCCACTTACAAAATCTAGCTCCCCTGAGGTCTCTACCTGGAGGTCTCACACAGAGAGAGAGAAATGCCTGAGGCGCCCCGCCTGCTTCCATCTTGGCAGCCTAAGCAGCAGACATTGCAGAGAAGCAGCCTTGGAGAAGGCCCAGTCCCGGACGTGTCTGCCCGCCTCCCTGAGAGACCCTGGAAAGAGCTGCCTGACTGAGCCCTGGCAACCCCCAGATTTGGACAAAAATAAATGATTGTTATTGTTTTAAAGCCACTGCTTTTGAGTGGTTTGTTACACAGCAATAGATAACTGAAACACCGACTTTTTAATAAAGTTAGGTGCACTTTTATCATGTTAAGGAAGAAGCAACCTATTCCTAATGAGTTTTTGACATCGAAAATGGATATTATGTTTTAACTAATGGCTTTTCAGTGCTATGAAGATGGATCATTTTTCTTCTTAGAGATACCATAATGATAAATTATATTAGTAGATTCCTAATGTTAGCCTATCCTTGCATTCCTGGAATAAAAGCCACTTGGTCATAATTTTATAAGCAGCTGAGCTGCGTTTGATAAAATTTTGTTAAGGATTATTTGCATTGATATTCATAAGTGAAATTGTACTGTGGTCTTCTTATTTTTGTGCTGTTTTTCTTGGGTTTTAATTTCAGCAGGGGTAGACTTAAGTTTTGAGAGGCCTGAAGCTTATACAATTTGGGAGGCACTCTGAGAAAAAGACTAGAAAGTTAAGAACTTAAATTTGGGGCCAGGGCTTTAGAAGGAGCCCTTGCTAGCGAGGGATTCTGAAATTTAAGTTTCTTTAGCTTCATTTATGTCTGTCACCAGGTGTCAGTATTATTCTTACTTTATAAAAAATTTTGGAAGCATGTTTTATTCTGCTTTGGGTTGTAGTAATGTAAATCACATAGTGTTTCATTTTGGTGAGGAAGATTGACCCTGAGCTAACATCTGTTGCCAATCTTTCTCTCTCTCTTTGTTTTCCTCCCCAAAGCCCCAGTACATAGTTGTATATCGTAGTTGTAAGTCATTCTAGTTCTTCTATGTGGGATGCCATCACAGTATGGCTTGATGAGTGGTGTGTAGGTCTGTGCTCAGGATCTGAACCAGTGAACCCTGGGCTGTGAAGCAGAGCATGCGAACTTAACCACTTGCCACGGGGCTGGCCCCTAAATCACATTTTAAATAACAGAAAGAAGACAAAATCAATTAATACCATCACTGTACAGAACAATTTTCATTTTTATGTCCTATTATAGTCCTTGTTGTTACAGAGGCATTCTTTTTACATAGTTCATTCATTCATTCATCAACCATTTACTGAATGCTTACTGTGTTAAAGACGTTATACCAGGGCCCATGGACAGTGGTAAAAGATAGAATGCCTACCTCACAAGGCAGAGGCAGTGACACCAACATGCAAACATTTACAATTCAGTGGGACGAGTGCTGTCTTCCAGGAAAGTGGAAGGCACCATGGAGGTACATAGGAATTCACCTAACTCAGACTGGGGAGGAGTTGAAGGGGGGAAGGAGCATTTAAAGAAGGCTCTCCAGAGGGGCCGGCATCTAAGTTAGATCAAGGTGAAGAAGCACTTCCTTATTTTGCTTTTTCCAGTGAGCTAAAATTCATAGTGAGCTCTGATGACACTTTAGCGATACTAAAAAGTCCTTCCAGAAGACTTGGTTGGTTAGCTGGTAGGAGACCTAAGAAATGTCTAGCTGGGGCATGAGCTGGGTTCAGAGGCAGGTGGAGAGACATTGGGTCCACTCAATGTCCTGGACAAGCTGAGAAGCCCGGCAACCAAGCCCCAAGGCAGAGCCAGAAACGTGGAGAGGTCTGAGGGTGAGGATGTGGGGTGTTCAGCCAGGTCTGGAGGCCAGGTATTTCCCCTGCAGGTCTGCTCCTTCTTCTACAATTTTAAGGGCTCGTGTTTCGTGTCAGACAAAAGTTTCAGTAGGGATGGGAATGGGGAACAATTTCACCTAGCCAAAGTCCTCAGTTGGGAGGGGATATCTTGGGGTTGTCTGATTGAGGCTGTGTAGGGTCTCCACTGAATATCTGTTTCCTAAGGCTTCTCTGGGGTTCCTGAGGACCTAATGTTGGCTCCTCCTGATTGCTTTCCTGTCCTTGGATTCCGTCATCCCCACCACTCCACACACGGAGGCAGTGCTGGCCAGCTTGGTTGGAAGCTGTGATACAAAGCAGAGGATTTTGAGTAAGAAGCCCTACAAAGCCACTTAGATGGGACTCAGTTCTTCATGTGCAATATTGCACACAATTACAGGGTGATTGTGAGGATAAAGCAAGAGTATATTAGAGAAAGTGTCTTACACATTCAAAAATACTACATAAATAGCCCCTATTCTTAGAGGTTAGAGATTCTTTGTCTTAGAGATTAGAGAAGTGAGACTTGATGGCTTAGAAATGTTCTGAGAGTGACACCAAGCTTACAGAGATGCATTGGGCTCCACCAATTGGCATCAGTGAAGGAGCTCTAGGTTTTACCTTTAGCTAGGCTGGAAAACCTTGTTGGGAACGGACTACAACACAGAGGTGTAGAGGTGGAAGCAATTCTCACCATGCCTTGGACAAAGCACATACTTTGTATTCTAGCAGATATTTCTGGTGAGACTCCAATGGGATGGCTTCTTCTCAACTGCGTTCAGGAAAGCAGTTTCTAGGAAGAGAATGGAACCAGATAACGATGTGGGTATAGATGGGTAATGCTGAGGCAGGGATAGTCATCTACCTGGCCAGGTAAATGTCCAATGACTCTCTTGGAACAGTCCTCTGACTGGTTTTAGGAATCAAAGCATTTGGCTTTGACACTTTTTTACCCATTCTTGGTGTAATAATGATCCCAACTATATTCCCTCATACCTGCAAAGCACATTTAAAGTTACCAAACACTTAGGCATACATTATCCACATGATTATTGCAGTTCTATATGTGGTAGACCAGACAGCCACTTTTATACCCAACAAATAAACTATGGCAAAGTGTTTGACAGAGAAAAGAAGCGACCATGCGCCAGGCCCTGCATCAGGTCTTTAGGATACATTGTGTTATTTAATCCTCTCTATAACTCCATGAGAGAGGAATTTAATCATGGTTTGACAGTTGAGAAACTAAAATTGCAGAGAGATTAAGGAAGCCAAATAAAGTCATACAGCTGTCTTAAGCAAGTGGCAGATCAGTGGTTGGAATGGTGGTCCGTCTTCTGACTCCAAGTCCTGTGTTATTTCCACCTTCCTCCTTAAAAAAAAAGCCAAAAAACTCTATCTTACCTCCAATTGTTTCCAAATGGAAGCATATGTTTGGGCTGGTTGCTGAGTCTGAAATAAATAGCTCCTTTTAGACTGTTGAGACAGCCAAATGCTTTCAATATGCTCCCAAGGTCGGTGATTGGGTCTGAATAGAAGCCAGATGTCCTGGATTCCAGAGCCATTTCCTTGTTGAATGCTTCCCCTAACCCCCAACCTTCCATTAAATGGAGGAAGGGAAGGTGAGCCCAGACTGACGGATTTTGCTTTTCACATATTTCTCCTTGGAAGAGGGAGGGGAGGGAGCCGTTGAGGTTACAGTTGGGCTGGAGCAGACTGTGGGCTTGGGGTGGGATGTAGCCTGGAAGAAAAATAGCCAGGAAGAATGTGCAATCACTTATTCCAGGCCTGTAGAACCCCTTTGCCGCCTGACCTTTCTGTACTCCTTCACAGTTGACAGCCCAGCCTTCGGCTTCCCGCTAGGAGGAAGTGCCCCGCGGTTAGTCTGTTGATTACTAAAACAGAACCATCATAACACTTGTCAGCTCTGCTTCCTCCATGCACTTTGGCAGATTTTTTTTTTTTTTCTATTTCTTGTTTTATTACTGTTTGTCAGACTGGGGAAGCTTTGAAGTTCTTTACAGATCTGACTTTTATCAGAGCATGTAGGAGTTGGGGGGTGGAAAATGGGGTGGATGCAACCCATCACAATATTCTATTCTGCACCCAGCTAACTCACCCCCCTCTGTCTTTGTCTGAAAAGGTTTTTGACATGGTGTTTCTATACGTGGCCTGCCTTCCAGATGAGAGAGTGACATCTATTGTCGTAATATAGGGAGGAAATTATGATTACTTAATGATAGCATGTCGCAGCTTGTCGCTTCTTTATTTTCCTTTTAAATACTTGCTGTCACAGCAACACACAATTGGCCTTCAATCCTGGGGCTGGGTGGGACCTCGTGTGGTACAAAGTGGTGCAAGGATGACTTATTGGTAAAGCCGGGTAGGAGAAGAACGAACACAAAAATATTTCCGCGTGTCTGGCTTGGCTCCCCGCTCCTCCTGTTGTGATATGAAGCAGAGGCCTGCTCCTTGTACACTGGCCTTGAAAGCACCATGGCCAGCTTGAATATGTGAAATGCACCCTTTGTCACTCAGATTCTAATAATCTTTTCCTGTCTGGTTTACTCACAGAAGCGGGAGGCCACCGTTCATGGAAGCACTAAGCAAAGGGTGAATGGCCCAGTCTCAGCTGGGCGCAGCCAGCTTGTTCACTCTCTGCTACCCCTCGACTTAGCTGTCTGACAACAAGAGCAACAACGAAAATAGTTTCCATTCTGTTTAATAACCTAACATTGATTCCCTTTTGTTCAAACAACAAAGTACAAAATACTCATTCCAACATGCAACATCTTCCCCATCTGGCCCAGACTTACTGAAACCCACCTCTCAACCCCCTCATAGCCTCTGCCCAGCCATGTGCCTTTCTTTGTTTCCTAAAAAGTTAATTTTAATCACAGAACATTCCAAACACAGGAAAAAGCCAGAAAACACATAGACACTTGTGTATCCATCATATAACTACATGGGTAAATGTAAAAAACATAAAGTTGAGTGTAAAAAGAAAGCTGAAAAAATACATACAGTAAAATATTATTTATGAAAACTTTTAAGGCACCCACAGCCTATTCTGCCTCCACCTGGCGAGCTTCTGCTATCCTTTATGACCCAGTTCAAATATCACCTCCCTCTTGAGTGCCTGACTTACCCAGTAGAGTCATTTTTCCTCCTCTGTGACTTCCAGCCGCTCATTTATACAAGTTTCCATTACATGCTCATACTCCCTGAATTGTAGTTTCCGTTTTCATGTTGGTCTCCCTCACTCAAGTGTGAGCCCCGTAAGGACAGCGAGTGGGCTGCATTCTTCTTTGTACACTCAGGACATAAACTCAT